TCAGTTGACTGAGTTTCATGTTTAAGAATAATTATAAATAATAATAATAATAATAATAATAATAATAATAATAATAACAACAACAACAACAACAACAACACAAGAACAACAACAATAATAATAGTAATTGTGTTTTCTTTCAATCAAATGTAATTTGGCCAAATTTATCTAAACACCAAACTAATTATCCTGCTTGAGCACCAATAGATTTAACTTATTTTGAGAAAAATATGAAATCTATCCAATCCTGCCTTAAAACAGTCAGAGTCACCTTATTGGTGAGATGGGAGGCATATAAATTTAATAAACAAACAAGCAAAGAAACACACAAACACATACAGAAATAAAATAATGCTCTCTTTGGCTATCAGTTTTGGAGAACAGCTCTGTAAATGCCTAACTGAGTCAATTTCACCCAATACCTGGTATGATAGGTATAACATTAATTCACAATAGTTTGCCATTTATTAACTGGAAACTCCAATGGATCCCAATGTTACCCTGTCCTAATTATTCTCTTAATCACATTCCCTGCTTCTCTCGATTCATCATCGATCTATCTATCTTTCTATCTTTCTATCTATCTATCTATCTATCATCTATCTATCTATCTATCTATCTATCTATCTATCTATCTATCTATCCATCTATCTATCTATCTGTCTATCAATCTGTCTATCTAAACTCCATCTATATCAAATGGTTATCCTACTGTATGTGTAGGATACACATACAGATACAGTATACTCTCATTGCACGTTAGAACATGGCTTCTTTTTCTTCTCTATTGGCTGAAATCAATGCTACTTTTTAGGTTTATACTTACCCATTGGTAAGTAGAGAGCTCTTGAAATAAGCATGGCTTAAAAAAGCCTTAGGTCAAATTTATCTATTGGCTTTCTCTATGGAAAGTCTATGCTTATTAGGTTTGGACAGTGCTAGAATAGCCCTCAAACAAAGAATTTGGGATATGGATCTCCCAATGCATTTAGAACAAGCTATAAATTACGACCATTGGAGCACAAAAGTTTTGAAACCAGGAGAAGATGCTACATTTAAAGAATGTACCATCTTCTGTGTCTCTATGTGTGCATGTGTGAAATCACAGGTCAACATATCCTCCTCCCGCCCCCCCCCCCCCCCCCCCTTTTTTTTTTTTTTAAAGGGGGTTTGGTGCTTCAAAAAATCATCTTTTCCAAAAAGCATTCTCCAAAACTGAAATCAAGACAATTTCTTTTGGATGAACTCTGTGCTAGTTTTGGCTGACTGAAAAAGGAATTTTGGAGCCATGGTGCTTGACTCAATGAAAATGTCAGGATTACAGAATGAGTGTGATTTACCTCATGGTGTTTCCTGGCAGCTTAATCACCTTAAGCATTTATTATTCAGTTTATTTGGTCCAGATGCTATTGGAGCTTCTGAAGTTCTACGGTGGTTAGAGGTTTTGGAGGAATGAACTGCAGTTCCTAAGCCAGGAACCTTTTCCTTTGAAGAAAGTTGAAGGAAGGTGATATTATTTTATTTTTACTGTGTTATTTACAGGACATCTGGAATAATCACCTTGATACACATTGAAGGGTTGTTTGTGAGATCAGCTTCCCATTAGAACAAAGCTAATACATCATTATTTGTTTTTTGACTTTGAATAAAGGTTGACTGAGCTTGGTTGTTTTCTTTCAGACGTTTCATTACCAAACTAGGTAACATCATCAGTGCAACTCATTATGTTACCGAGTGGAAATAGGAAAATAATGGCAAAAAAGTCAAGACTTAAATAAATAAAATAGTGGAAAGAAAGCAGATAAAAGTATATATTGAAAGATGGCACAGAAAACTGGCATATAAAAAGAGACCAAACCCTTCTCCCCCCTAGCACTGATGATGTTATCTAGTTGGGTAATGAAAAGTCTGCAAGAATACAACCAAGCTCAAAGAGTACCAAGAAGTTCATAGTTCATTCAGCCCAGAGCTACAAATATTCACTTCTGTCAATAAAGTTTGACTTCAATTATCTTTGTTGTTGGAGGTGGCCCTCCCAGGCTCCATTTTCGGCCGCAACGGCCTCCTGCAGCCCTCTGCCAGTGAAAACGGAGCTCTTGGGCTGCAGGAGGACTGTAGGAGGCCATCGCGGCTGAAAACGGAGCCTTGATGAGTGACATCAAACTGGCCACGCCCCCCGAGGTCAAACACAACCCTGATGCGGCCCTCAATGAAATCGAGTGTGACATCCCTGCTCTAGAAGCATTGAACTATTGGAAATAGATTTTGAACTATGTTGATATGGACTATCTTGATGTCCCAGATGGTTTCTGATATGAAATGGTTGATATTGTTGAAAATATGAGCTTATGAAGAACTGCCTTAGAGCAGGGGTGTCAAACTCAAGGCCTAGGAGGCCAGATCCAGCCCATGGGATGTTTAGATCTGACCCACAGGGCCGCCCTGGAAATAGTGAAGGATCAGCCCCTGGTGCCTCTGCCAGCAAAAACGTGGTCCTCCCGAGCTCCATTTTTGCTCTCAGAGGGTTGCAGGAGGCCGTCCCAGCTGAAAACTGAGCTCGAGAGCCCGTTTTCAATGGCAGAACACTTGGGCCTCCACAGGTGCCCAACACGAGTGATGTCAAACTGGCCATGCCCACCCTGGCCACGCCCATCCCAGCCCTGAGGTCATCCTGGCCACGCCCATCCCAGCCCCTGAGTCCTTTGGCAGAAGGATGGCATACAAATCCAATAAATAAATCCAAATAAACCCAAACACAACCCCAATGAGGCCCTCAATGAAATCGAGTTTGACACCCCTGCCTTAAGAGTTTCTTGGAAGCCCCTGATTGAAAATTGTTGGAGAGAAGAGCTCCACAGCTTGATCCAGTCTGAATTTCCAAGAAAAAAAGTCTTTGGCTACTGTTGGAACTAGCACCTTACAAGTACCTACGATGGAAACAGTGGAGTGAGCGGATGGACTTCCATGAAGGGATTTGGGTTGAAAGTTCCACTTAACAGATAACAGATTAACAGAGTTGGAAGGGATCTTATAGGTCATCTAGTCCAACAACCCTCCCCTCCTCAGCTCAAGCAGGAGACCGTACACCATTTCTGACCAATGGCAGTCCAGTCTCTTCTTGAAAGCCTCCAGTGATGAAGCTCCCACAACTTCCGAAGGCAGCTTCTGTTCCATGCGTTGATTGTTCTCACTGTCAGAACGTTCCTCCTCATTTCTAGGTTGAATCTCTCCTTGGTCAGTTTCCATCCATTATTCCTTGTCTGGCCTTCGGGTGCTTTGGAAAATAGCTTGACTCCCTTCCTCTCTGTGACTTGACCACAGCTGGAAGGAGAAAAGAGGTTATCCAAAGCAGGGCTCTCCAACCTTGGCAACTTTTGATTGCTTATTTGCATCCTATGACTATCATTAAGTGTTGTACTTTATGATTCTTGATGAATGTATCTTTTCTTTTATTATTTTTCTTTTATTATTTTATATACTATATTTTATTATTTTATAAATTTTTATACCGCCCTTCTCTTGCTGGACTCAGGGCGGTGAACAGCCAAGAATAAAAAAACATCCAATACAAAATTTAAAATTATTAAAACAATTAAACAAATTTTGTACACCAAGAGCGTATGCACCAAGACAAATTCCTTGTGTGCCCAATCACACTTGGCCAATAAAGAATTCTATTCTATTCTTAGGGAGCCTTGGTGGTGCAGCGGACTAAAGTGCTGTTAAGTAGCACTTAGCTGCCAGCTGCTTGCAATTACTGCGAGTTCAAATCTCACCAGGCTCAAGTTGACTCAGCCTTCCATCCTTCCGAGGTAGGTAAAATGAGGACCTGGATTGTGGAGGCAATAAGCTGACTTTGTATAAAAAAGAACACCGCTTTGGGGGGGGGGCAAAAGCCCTACTAAGCAGGTATATACAAAAGTATGAAGGCTATTGCTAAATCGAACCAATATTCTATTCTTTAAGACTTGTGGACTTGTGGACTGGCTGAATTCCTCATCCAGCAAAGGCTTTGGGGACCCCCTGATCCAAAGTACACGCTTGCTCTTTTAAACCCAAGAAAGTCCTTCTCGAAGCTCCTGGCAGACTCCGATTTAAAGCCAAGCCAGGCAAGGCTTGCATCCTGTAAGAAGAGGCGTCTACGTTGTTTTTTTTTTTTTTTTTGGGGGGGGGGGGGGGGAGGCAGAGTAGGGGGAGAGAACCAAAGGGAAAGCAAAGGCACTCAGCTCTCTTCCGATTGGCCCACCTCTTCCCCAACGTTCAAAGTTTTCCGAAGTCCGGAACTTTCAGCCACCAATCGCCTTTCCTTCTCCCGGCCCTCCCCCTCCTCCCCGCTCGGACCCGTCCGTCCTCCCCCCCCCTCCCGCAACCCTCCAGTTATTCCTATTGCGACGAGGTGGTGGTGGTGCTGAAGGAGTGCGGGAGCCCTTCCCTCCGCCCCGGAGTAGGAGGGAGTGAGGATAAAGCCAGATAGCGGATCGGGCTCGGCCAAGAGAGGTGGAGGGCCAGGGCAAGAGCAGCAGCAGAGGCCGGAGGGGGGCGAGAGGAAGAGGAGGAGGAGGAGGAAGAGGAGAAGGAGGAGGAGGAGGCAGAGCGCCTGCAAAGAACTCCGCGAAAGTGCTGCGATTCCCGCGGCGGGAGCAGCCCAAGACGGTCTCCGCAGCTATGCCGGGGGCGAGCGGGGCGCTGCGGCTGCCGGAGGGTCCCGGGGCGCTTTAGGCAGAGCTGAGACGGGGCCGGATAGAAGATCGAGGACGCCGGGCAGCCGAGCGGCTTTTCCCCGCCTTCCTTCCCTCCTTCCCTCCTGGAGCTGGGTCCCCGCGGGGAGGACGACGCCCCCCCAGGAGAAGAGGGGGAGCCAGGCGAGCGAGCCCCAGGGGCTTGAGGAGGAGGAGGAGGAGGAGGAGGAGGAGGAGGAGGAAGAAGAAGAAGAAGAGGAGGAGGAAGAAGAAGAGGAGGAGGAAGAGGAGGAAGAAAAAGAGGAGGAAGAGGAGGAAGAAGAAGAAAAAGAGGAGGAGGAGGAGAGGGGAGGGGTCCCGTCCGTCAACGGGCCCTTCGACGCGGGGCAAGGATGAGCCTCTTGTCAGCCATCGAGACCACCGCCGCCTCCGTTTACCAGCCGGCCCAGTTGCTCAACTGGGTTTACCTCTCTTTGCAAGACACCCACCAGGCCAGCGCCTTCGACGCCTTTCGGCCGGAGTCTTCCTCCACGCAGCACCCGGAGCTCAGCTACCCCAGCAAGAGCAACGCCGAGCTGGGCACCTCCTCGCTCAATTCCAGCTACCTAAACAGCTTCCTCCAGCTGCAGAGGAACGAGGTGAGCGGCTCCCCTGGAAGGGCGGAAAAATGTGTGTGTGTGTGTGTGTGTGTGGGTGTGTATGTGTGTCTGGGGGGGGTTACAGCCGACCCCTTCCCTCCCCCCGCAGAAATGCCTGCGGGAAGTCTGGAAGTGTGGGGGGGGTGAAAGTGTGGGGGGGCGGGATCGCGAGCCCTCCGCTCTCAGCTGGGTGGGGGGGGGGGGGGGGGGAGGTGAGGGTCGGCCTGCCAAAGGCCACCCCGAGGGAGTTTGACTTTGGTTGCTGGTCCTGCCAAAGGAAGGGAAGAAGAGCCGAGCGAGCTAGCGAGCGAACGGGACGGGGAGGGGAACTGCTGGGAAAAGTTTGCGGAAAAGTTAGCTCATCCTTCAAAACTTCGGTACCGCCATGATGCTTTTTTTTTTTTTTACAGTATGTGGCTTTTCGTAAAGGATTGCAAGATTTTTCTTGCCTTCCTTTCCTTCTTTTCTTCCTTCCTTCCTCTCTCCTTCCTTCCTTCTCCCTCCCTTTCCTCCCTCCCTCCCTTTCCTTCCTCCCTTTCCTCCCTCCCTCCCTTCCTTCCCCTCTTCCTCCCTCCCTCCCTTTCCTTTCCTCCCTCCCTCCCTTTCCTTCCTTCCTGTCCTTCCTCCCTCCCTCCCTTTCCTTCCTGTCCTTCCTCCCTCCCTCCACCTGTTCCTCCCTCCCTTTCCTTCCTTCCTTCCTTCCTTCCTTCCTTCCTTCCCTCCCTCCCCCTCTTCCTCCCTTCCTCCCTCCTTTTCCTTTCCTCCCTCCCTCCCTTTCCTTCCTTCCTGTACTTCCTTCCTTCCTGTCCTTTCTCCCTTCCCCCCTTTCCTTCCTCCCTCCCTCCCTTCCTGTCCTTCCTTCCTTTCTTCCCTTCCTTCCCCTCTTCCTTCCTCCCTCTCTCCCTTCCTTTCCTTTCCTCCCTTCCTTCCCTTCCTTTCCTCCCTTCCTTCCCTTCCTTTCCTTCCTCCCTCCCCCTCTTCCTCCCTCCCTTTCCTTCCTTCCTTCCTTTCTTTCTTTCTTTCTTTCTTTCTTTTTTTCTTCCTTCCTTCCTTCCTTCCTCCCTTTCCTCCCTCCTTTCCCCTCTTCCTCCCTCCCTCTGTCCTTCTTTCTCCCTCCCTCTCTCCCCTTCCTTCCTTCCTTCCTTCCTTCCTTCCTTCCTTCCTTCCTTCCTTCCTTCCTTCCTTCCTTCCTTCCTTCTCTTTGCTGGATTATTTGAAAACTAGAAGGTATTTGGTGATTCAATCAGCAGATTTTTACCCACAGTAAGGAAAAAATGACTTTGAAAAATGTTTCTCTTCTTGGGAAGAAGATGTGGGATCTTGAAGTCAAATTGCTGGCTCAGTTTAGACTCTGGTCTTAAGGAAAGTAGCGAGGAGAAGAAATAACTGGTGGGCTTGAATGCATCGGACAATCGAATAGGGGGGTTGTGACTTGAACTGGGAACACAGTTTTCACGTCGGTTTCCTATTTTGATCCCTGGGGAGTGAGTTATTTTGAGAGACATGGGGGAGTATATCTGAAGAATGCCCTCACCTCTCAGACTCAAGGCAGACGTCACTGGAGCTTCACAACCTGGGTATTATGGTCAATAATTACCCAGGGCTTGATGAGAAGAAATACTGACATGTAAAATCTGTGGGGAAAGAAGGCGATGTGGGCAGACATGTTATCCTTGCAAGTCAACCTTTGCATGGGACATGATTCATTTCTGAATCTCAGATAACCCAAGGGTAGCCCTTTCTGGATCAGGCCAAGGTCTATAATGGTCCAGTCACTGGCGGGGGGAGGGGCTCACAGTATCTTTTGGAATCCCTCAACCATCATTGGGCTAAACTAGATGGGTTTGATTCCCCCTTCAAGAATGTCTTGGGTCAGATGATAGAAATCACTAGTGGGGAATGGATTTGGCTTCCCACAATGGCTAGTAGAATGCTTGGAGGATGCTTGCAAGCAGAAGGCGGAGAGAAACTCTTTTTCCAACCATTGTTCTCCTGCAACCAGAATCTGGAGGCATGTTGTCCCCAGTCCAAAGATAACATTGAGTCTCTAGATGAGGGCTTCTTAGCCTTGGAAACTGGAAGACGTGTAGACTTCAATTCCAGCAGAAACTGGATGGGAAATTCTGGGAGTTGATATCTACTCATTTTCAAGGTTCCAAGGTTGAGTAACACTGGTCTAGGATCATGGTCTTTAAGAGATCGGTCCTTAAGGGAAAGTATCCAGACTACATCATTGCGTCTTGTGAGACTGAATTCCACGGTTGTGTTAGGCAATTTTCTCAATTCCCTGTCAGTAAGCTTCATGGGATGACCCCTGATGCTGGTGGATGGAGAGAGGGAGACAAATGTCTCCCTATCTTCTCTTTCCATGCCTTGCAGAAATCTAAGGTCATCATCAGTAGACTGATCTACGAAGTCAAACAAACATCCTGGAGAAAAGCAATTAATTTAAAATTTAAATTAGTTTTGTTGTCAAGAAGGTTGATGTCCTCCTTCCCTCCCTTCATTTTTCTTCCCTCCCTCCTTTCTTCCTCCCTCCCTTCTCCCTCCCTTCACTTTCCTTTTTTCCTTCCTCCCTCCCTCCCTCCACCCACTTTCTTTCCTTTCTTCCTCCCTCCTTCCCTCCCTCTCTCCCTTCACTTTCCTCCCTCCCTCCCTTCATTTTTCTTCCCTCCCTCCTTTCTTCCTCCCTCCCTCTCCCTCTCTCCCTTCTCCCTCCCTCCCTCCCTCCACCCACTTTCCTTCCTTCCTTCCTTCCTTCCTTCCCTTCCTCTCTCCCTCTCTCCCTTCACTTTCCTTCCTCTTTCTTTCTTTCTTTCTTTCTTTCTTTCTTTCTTTCTTTCTTTCTTTCTGTCTTTCTTCCTTCCTTCCTTCCTTCCTTCCTTCCTTCCTTCCTTCCTTTCTTTCTTTCTTTCTTTCTTTCTTTCTTTCTTTCTTTCTTTCTTTCTTTCTCCTGCCTGTTCCAGTATTGTACAAGCATTGGGAAAGTGTCTTAGCTACAATTACCATAATTCCCAACCAAGGCATCCAATATTGCTTGGACATGTTATTGTCATTGTCAGCCATTCAATCATGTCCAACCTTTGGCCATACTGTGGATCAGCCCTTTCCATGCCCCTCTGTCTTGCACCGCCTCCTTCAGATCCATCATGGGCGTCCTGGTGCTCAATAATTCAATAGCCTTTATTGTCATTGTACATCATGTATACAACAATATTGGTGTCAACCTTTATAGTGTCCAGCCGGGTTTTCCTTTTTCCCCAGCATGATTGACTTCAAATGAGTCAGCTCTAATGACATGACCAAAGTATGACAGCCTCTGTTTGGTGATCTTGGCTTCAAGTGGTATTTTCAAGTGACGTTCAGTCTAGGACTTCATGCAGTCCATGGGATGCGTAATAGTTGCCTCCAGCCCTACAGATCAAAGGCATCCACCCTTCTCCTAATCGACCTTTTTTCAGAGTCGAAGTCTCATGGCCATAAGTAGCAATTTGACAAAATTATTGCATCAATCTACATTTAGAGAGAATAGAATAGAATAGAATAGAATAGAATAGAATAGAATAGAATAGATAGAATAGAATAGAATTAGAATAGAATAGAATAGAATAGAATAGAATAGAATAGAATAGAATAATAGAGCTGGAAGGGATTTTGGAAGTTTTTTAGTCCACACTCAAACAGCAGACCTTTATACCAGGGGTCTCCAACCTTGGCAACTTTAAAACTTGTGGACTTCAACTGAATTCTGGGAGTTGAAGTCCACAAGTCTTAAAGTTGCTAACGTTGAAGACCCCTGATCTATACCATCTCAGATGAGTGGCTTCTGGGTCTGATGTCTTTACTCTTCCAGATGATATTCATGCCAGATATTGCAGTTCTTCCAAGTGATATACATCTTTTGATCTCAGGGCTGCAGTCACCACTTTAGTCAATTTTAGAGCCCAGGAAGATAAATTCCTTTACTGTTTCGATGGTGTCCTTGTCTATCTGCACTCCCACCTGTGTCTTCTCTTCGCTACCTTTGTTTTCTTGATGTTAAGGTGCATTCCACATTTTTCACTTCCATCTTTGATTCTCAGGATTAGCCACTCCAGATTCTCCTTGCTTTCCATGAGCAAACATTGCATCATCTGCATATCAGAATTTGTTGATATTCCTACCACCAATTTTAACCCCCATGGACATTTGTAGACAAAGGCGATTGAAGAATAAGAATAAATTGCTACGTTTACAAGCTCTGAAAAGAGCAGAATCCCTTGTAGGTTCTTGACCACTCTTCCTTTTCACAGTTTAATCTTGGTTGTGTGTCAATGTTGACCTTTGCACTCGGTTGTGAAACTTTTTCCCTCAAATCTTTTTTAACCCTCCCGGTGAAGTGGTCACTCTGCTAATGTTTGCAGAATGTCTTCAGGCAACGCAGAGAAATGACATCACAGAGTGGGCTGGGTATCACAACAAGAGTTGTGTGCTTGATACCTCCTCCTCTGTGGGATATCTGTGTGGGTCAATTGTGTGGATCATATGAAAGCGACTTGCCAAATGTGAGAAAAGATGGCCGCCAGCGGAGGAAGTAAGGACATGTTTTACAAATGAGTTGCTCTTCAATTTTAACCCACCAAAGTAACCGAAGAAAGTAGATCTGAGTAGACTGATTGGTAATGTACATAAGAGCCATTGTTTGTTGATTGCAATGCTGAAGTAACGCTTGAGTAAAACTATGTCTTGGCCTAGTTTGCAAAGGTCAAGGATTGGTTAAGTTATTCAACACGATGATTGTTGCATCCTCTACAGCAGGGGTGGGGAATAATGTCCCCTTTATGACTTGTGGACTTCAACTCCCAGAATTCCGGAGCCAACATAGCTGGCTCCGGAATTCTGGGTGTTGAAGTCCACAAGTCATAAAGGACTGACTTGACAGGCAGAACTTTCCTTTCATTCATAAAAAACATATTCCATAATACAGCTGTTATTTATTGACATGCCATAAGCTGCTTCAC